CACACACACACACACACACACACACACACACACACACACACGATATATGAAAGAAAGTGCAGAGTGTATGGAGGAGAGGGCAGGACAGATACAAGCGTTAAACCATTGTGCCTTCAGGATGGTGAGGAATGGAAGAGGCACTGGATAGACAAGAACCCAGGCTGTCACTCTCTCTCGAGGACTAGACTGTGTCAAGAAGCAGGTGACACACCTCCCCTCTACCTTACAATGTTAGTGCAAGGACCATGAGAAAAGTAGAAATTTATATTGATTTGGAAACCTATCTGAGGTAGTGGTATCGACATTTCTGTCTTGGGACAGGGCTAAGAGGCTGGAAGTCACCCAGGTGAAATCCCTGTGGTCCTATGGACTTCCACATACCCCATAACTAATGAAGTAACACCCTTTCTGTCCTCGATGGTTTCGCCTAACATCAGAGCTGGGAGAACTAGACGGTCACCAGGAGACTCAAGGGGTTTCGGAACTTGACACACATTTCACTGCTGGAGAAAGCCATGGCAAGACAAGAGTGAGCCAGGACCCATGTGTCATGCTGTAGAGTCTGAAAGGTGAGGGTAAACACCCCGTGGTGAGGAAACAGCTACCCCGGATGAGCCACTGATAACGGACAGCAGACTGGAGAAGGTGGACACGGGGAGGGAGGAGGGGCAGCTCACTGTGTATGTGTCTGGACTGGTGTGTGTGGGGTAAGGAACACTGTACCTGGTAACCGGGGGGATCAAAAGGCCAAGCTATACAGGGTGCCACAGGAAGCTATAGACTACTCAAAAGCCAGCCGCGAGGGGAAAAGAAAAGAAAGTGACAGAGAGAGTGAAGACAGAAACCTGGAGAGCACCGAGTCTTCTAGCACAGGCCTGAGGCTGCAGAAGCATCTGGTGCACGCTGGGTGCTGGGTGGTCTAAGTTTTCATGTCAGACAAAGGCTCTCGTGGCTTCACAGCAAGGCCGCTACAAGCATGACCCAGTCACCATGTCTGAACAGACAGACTGGAGTGGGCGTGGCCACTTCCACCTTCTCTCCTTCTTTGCAGAAGGGGGAGCATGTTGGACACTGAACCTGGGGTCTTGGACATGCTCTGCAAGGGTGTTACCACTGAGCGGTGTCCTATGTGTCTTTCCTCTTTACATGACTTGTGCTCTTTTTCACTACATGTGCACGTGTGCATCTGTGTGTGAGGGCAGGCACCTGCAGACGCCAGAAGGCACCTCAGATCTCCTGGAGCTGGACTTACAGGCAGTTATGAGCTGCCTGAAGTGGGGTGTGGGGTGTGCTGGGAACCGACCTTGGGTCTTCTGCAAGAGCAGCACACACCCTTAACCGGGCATCTCTCCAGCCCCTTCTTTTTAACCTTTTGTGTTTAAATTTTGAGACAGGATCTTACTTGGCTGCCCAGGGTGCCCTGAACTTATTCTGTAGCCTACTCTGGCCGTGGACCTAAAATCCTGCTTCTTCCTCTGACTACCACACACTCGGCTTGACGGTGCTTCTTGCAAACTCCGCAGCTTGGATGGGCGAAGCATGCTGGGTTTCTTCTCATGGCTTCACACGTGGCCCAGTGCATGGCGTGCCAACCCTGACACTCATTTTCCGTTTCCTCCATTCTCATTATTTCCACTTCAAGCTATGATTCTCAAATGCAGTCGCATACAAATGCATGATTAAATGAAAATATTTCCCACTGATACAAATTACAGTGAAAGCTTTTATCAGATTTCTGAAGGCTATGAAAGTATTCTAGCACCTTCTGAACCTTGATGCTCTCACTCTCTAACACTTCCTCTCTGAGCATGATACAGATCATGAAGCCAGATTTATGGAAACACCCTTGAAGGAGAAAAAGACAAAAGAGAAAAGAGCAAAATAAAACAAAAAGCAAAAAACCACCCAGATCTGGTTAGAGAAATGTGAACATAAAAATGTTTACCATACCTGAAGTCCCAATATATAAATCAACGTCTTGTTTGTGATGGACAACGGGCCCAGAATTTGTGCCACTTGGACTCTTGGAATGGAGCAGTAAAATGGTACAAAGAGAGCAAACACTGGCGCCAAGCTATGCAAACAAACAAAGAAAAACCACTATGAGAATGAATTTCAAACACCAGCAGAAAGACATTTGAAGCAACACCAGTTATACTCATATCTCAGAGTGGTACACATGTTGGTCTTCAAACACTCATCATAGGCAAACAATGGCCAAGTGTGTGTGAGACTTTAAGACAGCCAACCACCCCATCCTCACTGCAAACTACTGGTAAGTAGTTGGGCATCTACTAATTAGCTGTAAGACACAGTGAGTTAACCTAAAATGGATGCTATCTATGTTCAGTTCCCACGAATGGCCTAGAAGCTGACGAAAGACTATGGACACGGCTGTAACCTTTCCCGGTCAAACACAAAATCATGTCAAACTTTGGCGGGTCGTCCAGCCGCGGCTCCGGACTCCTCTCACCACTCCTACTCTCTATTCCTCAAATTTCTTCCTCTTTCTGTCTGAAACGTTTTTCCTTGATGGGTTCTCAATGGCTCCTCACACCACCCTACCCTCCTGGGGCTCCCCTGTTTCTCTTGTCTCTCCATGGAGAATCCCAGCTCTCTGTGTGGCTCCCAGCAGAGAAATGAGGTTGGTCCTAACAGGGCAGCCCCAGGCTCTGCAACTCCATGCTTCCCCTTTGACATTCGAATTGAGTGCCTGGCAGCAGTCTCATTTCAGAGTAAGAGCTCTTCCTGCCAGGGTCCTACGTCCCTACAGAAGACAGGTGTCTGATGGGCCATGTGAAGTCCCCTTTCCACAGGACCCCAGTGTCCCAAACCAGAATTGAAATGGCTCTTCCCTTTCCCCAGGCTAGACCCTCACAAAGTACACTCTCGCTGGCTTCCCTTTTCCTTCCCTTCTCTCCGTGACTCCCTCACACACCCCAACAGTTGTTTGCTGGATACAAGCTCATCTGGCTGGTACACATGGACATATGGACACATGGACATGGGTGATCTTCCCAGAACTTCCTCTGTATTTCCTGCTTAGCCAATTCTGCTCCCATGGCCCTGCTCAGGTTTCTCTGACTCCTTCTGGTAGTTAGCAGCTTTCCTCTCTGCCCCCAGGGTCATGCCCATCTGGATGTTTCAGTGAGCTGATGAACCAGCTGGGCATGGAGCATGTCAGAGGATGCCCAGCAAGGCTCCATCTCACCTGGAACAAGAAGCAGCCCCTCACCTCATCTCCTTCCAGCACTGCAGACTCACACTCCTGACAGGGCATGTATACACACATGCATGAGCTCTCTCTCTCTCTCTCTCTCTCTCTCTCTCTCTCTCTCTCTTTCCAGGCAGGGTTTCACTGTATACTCACTAGAACTCACTCTGTAGACCAGGCTGGCCTCAAACTCCAAGAAATCTACCTGCCTCGTCCTCCCAAGTGCTGGAATTAAAGGTTTGTGCCACCACTGTCTGGCCCAACCAGTAGTTTTTCTATACATCTACACTCCCATTTGCAGTAGCATCCAAGACAACAAAATGACTTGGAACAAACCTAACCAGGAAGGCAAAAGACCTTTACAACAAAAACTTCAAATCTCTGAAGAAAGAGATTGAGAAAGACATCTTGTGTTTGGGTTGGTAGAATTAGTATTGTAAAAATGACCATCCTACCTAGATCAATTTACAGATTCAATGCAATCCCAATCAAAATGCCCACAACATTCTTTGAAGAAATAGAAAAACAATTCTAAAATTCATATGGAACCAGAAGGCCCCAGAGAGCCAAAGCACTCCTGATCAAAAAGAATACTGGAGGGATTGCTAGTCCAGACTTCAAGATATATGACAAAGCCATCATACTTAAAACAATATGGTACTGACACAAGAACAGACATGTAGACCAATGGGACAAAACAGAAGTCCCAACATGTGTCCTTGTAAGTACAGCCATCTGACATCTGACAGAGACCAGAAGCATCCACTGGAGAAAGACAGCACCTTCAAAAGTAGTACAGGGAAATCTGGATGTCTGTTCAAATGCAGAATAAGGAAATTAGACCCAGTTCTATCACCCACACAAAAATCAGACCCAAGTGAATCAAAGATATCAATTTGAAACCTGGAACATGAAAACTGCTAAAGAAAACATACATAGTACTCTACATGACACAGGACTCGCCTTGGAATGGGCTTTCTGAACAGGGCTCTAGGGCTCCACAGAACCAAGGAGCTACAAGTGAAGGAGTGAAGTGTAGAAGAAAGGGCCTCCCTTCTGCTCATGAAAAAGAAACCTGCTCAACAGGAGAGAATATTTGTCAGCTCTACACTGGACAGACAGAGGGTTAATACAACCCAACCAAAAATGGGTATGGGTCTGAACAGAGTTCTCAGTGGAAGAGATAAAAACAGGTAAGAAATACCTCAAAGAGTGTTCATCACCCTTAGCAATTAGGGAAATGCAAATTGAAACCACCTCTGAGATTCTGCCTCACCCCAGCCAGAATAGCCACGATGAACAAAGCAACTTATGACAAGCACCAGTGAGGACGGGGAACCTGGCTGTTGGTGGGAGTGCAAATTGGTACACTCACTCTGGAGACCAGTATGGAGAATCACCGGAAGGCCCGGCTGGCTATACCACTCCTTGGCCGATGGCCAAAGGACTCAACATTGTACGCCATATAAATTTAGTCAACAGTGGCTAAGTTCACTGTGCCCCATTCAGAATAGTCAGGAAATGGAAACAACCTAAATGTCGTTCAATGAAAATGTGATTCAGAGACACAGGGGACACTATTCAGCTGTAAAGAAAAATAAAATCATGAAAATTTCCAGGTAAATGGATGAACCTAAAAAATGAGGGAACCCAGACCTATAAGGACAAACACCACCAGATCTCTTACATCTGTAGTCCTTAACTCCAAATCTTGAGATGTGGGTACGCGAACTGCCGCAATGGCTAACCCAGCAAAGTATAAAGGGACCATGACAGAGGTCGGGGTGGCAGGGAGGGGTCAGCAGGGTACATGTGACACCAAGTAGGATATGGAGTAACAACGGGGGAGGCGCTCCAACTGGAGAAGAGGGAGGGATTTTAAACAGTAGGAGGAAGAGCAAATAGCATCAAGATTGTTTGATAAAGCCAAGGAATTATAATATCTTATACTTACCTAAAATTATACACACAATAGACACATCTAAGTTCACTTATAGGTATACATGTGAATACACACACACACACACACACAGACACACACACACACAGACACACACACACCCTTGAGGGAAGTTAAGCCACTTTGGCTGACAATGCTCTCCAAAAAAACCACAAACTAACAAAACCGCAGTACCAGACACAAAGAACTGGTCAGGGTAGTCTGAATGACTCCCAAAACAACAGAGATTATCAAAGTAGCCCTTGGTTGCCTCTCAGAGGTTGTGGGTGGCCCCTACTACTGAAGACACTATACACTCAGAACACACCCCTCAGATGACTTGAGAGCATCTTTTCTGTGGTTTAGCCTCCATGGTTGCAGAAAATACTATGCAAGCTGCCAGGGTCGGGGAGGGGCGGTTCCAAAGTCCTACCTGACTGCAGTATCTGTGAACCATGACAATTACCATCATGCATGCAGGGGCAGGAAGTGGCAACCACCACTGTCTAATTGAACCTAAGGTCCACTCAATGGGAGGGAAACCATTCTGGGTACTAGAATCCTCGTCAGCTTTCCCAGGGGTGGTCAGGCCATGGGCCTAAGAATCCACTGCCACCCTTCGTTAGGCCAGCATAAGTCCTGCCTGTATCTAAATCTTATCCTTACGCCACAGATAAGTGCAGCTACCACCCTCAGCAAAGAAGCCTCTCCTACAGCCCGGGAGACGTTACCGGAAGCCAGTACAGGATACAATACAGAGATCAACAAACCTTGGGAAGCCCAGGCCCCATGGACGGAAGGAACATCTGCCTCATGGCTCCTGCATCTAGGGATCAGGGAACATCGTGAGTGGGGTGGGGTGGGGTGGGGTGGAGGGTAACTGCCAGAATACTAGGATGTCTGCTGTCAAAGTCTCTCCTGAAAATGGCTGAACACTCTAGACCAGAACAATAGCAATATCAGTAGATATGTTAATGTCCCACCCCGGACAAAAGAATTAGCCTATCCCAGGGATGAGTTCTCTTGTTGGTTGGCCAACGCAGAGTGGTCAGCTCTGAAACCACATAACACAAACAACAAATAAGGGCTCATTTGTGCACACACATTCATGTATACATAACATGCAACCAGAGAAAAGGGCTATCAACTTGAGAACGGGGCACAGAAGGAGTTCCAGGGAGGGTAGGGGGACGGCACTGAAAGGGGAAAGGGAAGGGGTAAGTGATATCATTCTATTTCAATTAATTTTATTTCAAAAATAAAATTTAAAAAAAGGAATGGAGCAGCTGCTGGACGCACACAAACAGCAGGGAACGCTTAAGTGTAAACATTGGATCAGACCTGGGACTAGCGAGAGTGTGAGGATGGGAGAGCTGAGGTCTGTGCACACGGACCTCAGCTAAGATGACATCAGCTGTGGCTCCTTTACTCCTCCCAGCTTTGGCCTCTCACATGGCACTGCTAGGGAGTATATGCAGTTTGCGGGGAAAATAACTCTGAACACTTTGCTTTGAGTCAGGGTCTGGTTACCTACTCCAGGCATCATGTGAACTCCAGATCCTCCTGCCTTAGCTCCCCAGTGCTGGGATTACAAGTGTATACCATTACACCCAGCTGGGACTCACACCTTAATAAACTCTTAGAGTTTCTGGTTTTTATTACATTATAAGCCCAAGAGAAAGAATCTAACTGACTTGGCTTAATGTTGCCTTAAGGGGAACAAATATCCAGATTAACGGACTTTACACTCAGTTCTGGGTGGATTAAAAAACAAAAACAAAGCAACTTCTAAATGCCACACCAAAGAACAGTATTTTGCCTAACCCTAAACACAGCTCTTCTGTTTACATTCATCAACAAACACAACATTAAAAAAATGTTATTAAGTAGCCTGAACCTCAGTGTCTGCTTGAGGTCACAT